CCCGCGTGGGGTTTGTTTTTAAGACGGTGGAGCATGCTGCTCTGTCCTCTCCGCGAGCACTAATTTATCAGGTCACGGCCGGGCCCCCGCAGCTGTCCACGGCGGGGCCTCCTGTGGCGCGCAGGGGTGTGGCAGGCGTGTCCACCCAGCGCCAGCCCGCGGGTCTCCTGCCCCGGGGTGGGGGGCGAGCTCCCCCACACGCACCAGACTTGGGAAAGAGCCCCGCAGGGGAGTCGGGACCCTCAGTGGCCGAAATAAACACTGTGACGGAACCTGCTGTCTTTCCGTGACTTCCACGAAGCCACTTACCGTGCGCCCAGACCCGCCGCGGCCCTGCACAGGAGGCCGTGGCACGGCGACTTCGCAGTGGCCGAGAGTGGTGTCCGCTCCGGCACCACCAACCCTCAGGGCTCCCAGGGCAGACGCGTCACCTCGAGGGGTGGCACCGAGGGGGTGCCTGGGAGCCTCCCCGCTCCTCTCCTAGGGGTGAGAGGCCACATCCCGTGTCCCGTGTCTGGGGCAGGCACAGGCTTGGATCACGACTTGGCTGCGAATAGCCACATGGCGCTGCCAGAGCAGCCTGGGGTCCCCTCGGGGAGGGGTGTGTGTCTCCAGTGTCATTCCTACAGCCGAGGACAAGGCTGCCCCGCCCCCCGTCCCCAGCATACAGCACCCCGGTACTGTGGCCGGCCACTCGGCGGCCTTTGCACATTCTGTCTGCGGGCAGTGACCTCCAGGGTGTGGTGAGGCAGCCCTGGCCGGGCTCCCTACAGGGGGGCAGCTGCACCTCATTCCTCGTCCGCACCACCTCCCGCCCCTGGGTGTGCCGGGACAGCACCCCTCTGCCCCACGGAGCACGTGGCCTTCCCAAGCATGAGAGGGGCCCGAGGTTAGAGGTCAGCCCTGTCCCCCCCAGCTTGGTTAGGCCGTGAAGTGCACCCCCAGTTAGCTTTGCTCCATGTGGTCAGAGAGCTGGGGGGCAGCAGGCACCCTCTGAGCTGACAGACTCCCCGGCCCCCACTCTCAGGGGCCT